ATGCATGCATGCATGCATACATGCATACATAAATACATACGTTGATACGTACATACGTACGTACGTACATACACATAAAAGCATAGCGCATGCGAAATGGTATGGTATTGTTCGGTAGGACGATACGATACGATAATATCTATATATATATATACACACATATACCTAAGGCACATATGTACGTGTGTGCATGTGTACGCACATACACACATCAACATCGCACCACGCTTCGTTTAAGGCTCCGGCGACAGGCTTAAGATGCGAACCTCTGACGGCATGCCATCTGCCTGGGGTGGTTATGTAATGCACCACATAGCCTATATACTGTTCATGTATGTGCATGTGATACATGTCGTGGCATTTGGTCGCAGGTTGCTTTCTACAAGTACTGCGAGCCGGGGAGGCCCGTGAGTATTTTTGGGTTGATAGCAGGTCGTTTGGGGCTTTTGCCTGTAAAGTCTCGGGTGTTTCTTGCAATCTTCTATGATCAGCGGCTGTGAGGATTGAGGAATTTCGGGCTCAGGGTTTGGGACTTGTTGGGGGTTCAGGAGGGGTTGTGGGTGATTTCATGCTACAAGTATGTATACGTCTTTGTGGCGCCGAAACGGGATTAGTGTTGCTGAGTTGTGAACCGTGAGAAGTTTGCAGAAAGGCTTCGCCGGGACAACACTCCGAGACTTGAGTTTCGAAATATCTACAGACGCTGTAGGGTTTTAGGGTTTAATTAGGGTTTACAGCAATCTCAACCCCTGGAAATCTGAAAACCCTACACCCCGAGGTCAGGAACGCCTGTGACCTGTACTTGCAAATGGGTTCAGGGCTCGAGTTTTTTGGGGTTTCTGGTTTAACGTGTTCGGTTTCTGGGTTTTGGGAATATAGTGCCATGGAGCATAGTCTCATACGAATTCTCATGCAGTTTGCTTGCGTGATTACCATTGAAGACATTCAATCATGTTCATAAAAACAGCTGAAACTGTACTATGAAAAGTTCGGCGTGGTAAGCTGACTGGACATGACTTGCATGCCCAGTGGCTTGTTTCGCCTCTTCACTTCCTGCGCGGCGAAACAAAGACGAAGGTCCTTGGGCTCCAAAGTTGTGCGCTCGAAACGAAGCCCGAGCCCAGAGTCAGCGCTCCGTGTATACTAATCAGTTGTTAGCTCTGACGAAAACCTTATGTCGGCGTGATGAAATAGGTGCTGATGATGATGATGATGATGANNNNGATGATGACAGCGAAACTCCTGAGTGGTGACGATGACGTTCGTATTGATGATGATCATTACTTACTTAATATACCAGGATGACTGTGATACTGACACGAATGTGCGCAACAGGAGCCACAAACACGCCCCTACCACCCCTTCGACTCACAAGCGCTCGTAGCATCTCGACGCACGACAGTCACCTTGCAAAAATGTCATTCGCATCAGTTGTTGTGACTGTTAATCTTGGTGCTAAGTCAAAAATACCCAGTCCCTGCCATCTCATGTCACGCCTTCGAAGTTCCTGGCTGTTCGGGTTTAAGGTTTACGGTTTACTATAGACTGACTCTAGCTTGCCATCCACTCCTGAGCGCCCTTTCTGAACGAATCGCTTTGGGGCTTTTCAGGCTTGGGGTCTTCCAGCCCATTGGTAGGTTCCACATCTCTTTTCTGGCAGCCGGGCTTGGTGTTGCGATGTTTACCCAGAGGTCTCCGGCCCAGGTTCGAAGTTCATGGGTTGGGATCTACAGTTTAGGGTTATGTAGGGGGATATTCTACTATAACTATAGTAGGGAAAACCCAAGATAGTACAGGTAATCACTTTAGGAAGGCCAAACCGGAGATCCTGTTGGGATCGGCCAAGAGTTGCTGCAGGCCTCCGAGTACCGACCTCTTTGAATCAAGGCGGGCCGGATATGCCTCAGTGTTTTCTCCTGCGTACAGTCCCTCTTATGACTACCGGATGCAATTCCCCCCCCCCCCCCCCCCC